GAGAAGGAGAAGGAGGAGAAGAAGGAGAAGGAGGAGGAGGAGGGGGAGGGGGAGGAGGAGAAGAATAAATAGAATAAGTAAAAGAAGAAGAGGAAGAAGAGGAGGAGGAGGAGAGGAGGGGGCGGAGGGGGAAGAGGAGAAGACGAAGACAGTAGAAGTAGAAGAAGAAGGAGGAGGAGGAGAAGAAGAATAAATAGAATAAGTAAAATAAGAAGAGGAAGAGGAGGTGGAGGAGGGGGAGGAGGGGGAGGAGGAAAAGATGAAGACAGTAGAAGTAGAGGAAGAAGGAGGAGAAGAAGAATAAATAGAATAAGTAAAAGAAGAAGAGGGAGAGGAAGAGGAGGAGGAGGAGGAGGAGGAGGGGGAGGAGGAAAAGATGAAGACAGTAGAAGAAGAAGAAGGAGGAGGAGGAGAAGAAGAATAAATAGAATAAGTAAAAGAAGAAGAGGAGGAGGAGGAGGAGGAGGAGGAGGGGGAGGAGGAGGGGGAGGAGGAGGAGGAGGAGAAAACGAAGACAGTAGAAGTAGAAGAAGGAGGAGGAGAAGAAGAATAAGTTGATTAAGAAAAAGAAGAAGAGGAGGAGGAGGAGTAGAAGAAGAAGAAGAAGTAGCAGAAGCAGAAGTAAAAGAAGAAGGAAGAGGAGGAATAGGAGGAGAAGGAGAAGAAAGAACAAAATAATGAAATAAATAAATGTATTAATAAATGACATAGGCCTAATAAATTTACGAGAAAGAGTTAGACAAAAGAGAGAGAGAGAGAGAGAGAGAGAGAGAGAGAGAGAGAGAGAGAGAGAGGAAGGGAGGAAGAGAGAAGTAGAGAGAAGGGGAAGAATTTGACCACGATTTGGAAAACTGGTATATACGACTGGTGAATTAAATTGATTTGTTCTTGATTGTAACTATGTGTACCGCAATTTTATGTTCTGCAATGCCTACATAATATCATTCTTCGAAAAACATATTAATATGTGAAGCTGCCACATAACATAACTATTTTTTAAAAAAACCTCTATAATTTTTGAAAGCTTTCTAGGAACTGGGCTATGAATTATTGGTCAACTACATATACCAAGATGTTAAAACATAATTTAAGGACGTCAATTGATCACAGTTTTAATAATATAAATCGTAAATACCCACCGCGAATGCAAAATCAACTTACTATGTTTTCGCCCGTTCCATCAACGCCGCTTTGGAATACAAAATATCAATAAGAATACAGGTTATTCAAAGTCTACAATTATTTAACTGGGGTAATGTACAATTATCTTTGGCCTCGCCGGATTAATCTTACAACTTTGTTAACGATACCGCGTCATTATTATGAAAAATAATTTCGAATCAAAGGAGGCAATACTTTATTTTGAAACAGAATCGACTGCATATACGTAAGTACATCTCTCAAAAGTGAATTATTCTTTTTCATACATTTTGTTACCCTTTAAAAAAAATATAATATTTATATTCACATTTTCAGTGATGGATTTTCTTGTAAATTCCTTCAAAACCAGTGAATAATCTCAGCGCTTCAACTGTAAGTAAAGTCGCACAAAGTTTTCCCGAATAGTGCTTTCATTGTTGTATACGCTTGTTAAAGAGAATAAATAAATAATTATAATAATAAATCTAGTTTATCGGTCTTCAAAATTACCCGTTCAAGTCGTAATGAAGTTTGACGAAGTCGGTCATTGCATGCTTGAACATATCCTGGAAAGATTTCCGTTTTTTTTCGTCTTCTATCTGCCCGATTTTTTCTTGCATTTCATGGTCGTACTTGTATAGCGCCGCCCTGCCTTCGACAGTGTTTAGTTGATACTCGGATCCATCGGTCAAGACCAGAGTCCCGTTGCCCTTAACAACGGGAGGTTGTATATCATCCATGGTGATTTCGTGGGTATGGGGGGCACGATGGCGAAGATCTTCCAGAGTGATTCGATGAATATGCGACACTGAAAATAAAGTGGGAGAATATACGTTTGGGTGAAGAATCCTTAATATCAGACGCCAAAGTCTTATACATAAACTAAACGCGATCGCAACTTTCGGGAAAAAAAATCAACTCATGGGCAATTGTGTATGTAGGGGGGGGGGGGGCTTTCGGGGAAAGAAACTTTCTTAGAGCCTAAAGCTTAATTACCATAAAGCACTAATACTACTCCCTTAAAGTTTCCACAAATTTCCACAAACCGATTGAATCGGGAAAGTTGTCGGGGAAGGGAGGGGGGGGATGATTTCCTTGGGACTTGTCCCAGTTAAAGGGATAGTTGAGTTCTGTTGCAGAGGGCGCTACACAAAATAACTTTTTTGTGAGATAATGAAAAACTGAGTGTCAAATTTGAAAGAACATAATATTTATATGACAAAATCATCTTTGTTTGATCAAAATCGGTTCAGAGACGGCTGAAATATAACGATTTCTAATACTTGTGTACCACCACAAATATTAGATATTTGAAAAATTTGAAAAAACCGTTGAAAAAAACAAAATAACGCCTTTTACGTCGTATTTCGGCAAATGCCGATGTTGGCTTTTTTGTTGGCATTTTCGTGTTGCTTATATTACGCACAACCAGCCGGCCCATGTATTGTTATTTTTAATTTAATTATTAATTAACGGTCACCGTGTTTTTTTTTTAAGTGGAGCTGAATTGGTGTGCTCGTAAGGGCTAAATTTCACACATTTTGGGGTCTAAAATTACCTTTATAGCAATTTTAGGTTCTAAAAGGACACTAGAAATGTCATAGATAAGAATAAGAGCAATAACCATGCACTTTGAAGGCATTTGCAGTCTGAAAACAGAACTCAACTACAGTATCCCTTTAAGTAGTTGTATATGGGATAACAGCTGTAAGAAGGTCTTTTTCTTAGAAGTATAGTCGACAGTTTCCCAATGTAAGGCGTAGTCCTAGTTTTACTAGTTTTCCTTGGGCGTGGGGGTATTTATCCGGGCCATAGTTGTCCGATGGTAATTGTCAGCGACAATTTTATCCTATAGTATTCAAAATTACACAAAAACAGAAGAAAACAATATGGATGATAATTATGTGCATGTGTGTGTGTGTGTTTAATTTTGTTTTTGACAGATTAGTGACGTGTATCATTCAGATGTGATAATTTACGTCTGGGGGACCAACCGTTAACCTATCTTCCGAAAGACGCATGGGGTATACGGATGGGTAAGACTTTCTCTTTATTTGGGGGAGACTGAGAAAATATTCAAAGGGCACCGCCCGATATAATCTTACCATCGCAATCGACTCTCCACTTCTCGATGCAGTTGGTCATCATATGGTCCTCATCCATGATATCAATGTTTCGTGCCTTCAAGTTTTTAATCGTTTCTAACCATTCACACGTGCAGTCTTTAGTAATTTCATCAATGAATCTGCCAGAATAAACAAAACAAATAAGAAAAGGTTTAATATAAAAAGAAGTAATGATGATGAAATATTTTCAGGTAAATCTGATTTGAAAAGAGAGTTATGGGCAGAAGACAAATGTTCCAAAATCAATCTACAAGCGCACACATTTTGGCGCGGAGTATACCTACTTTTGGTTATTTGTTTTGATTACAGATATCCTTTTTCATTCAGCTGTTTATTATAAAATGTTATTTTACAACTCTATATTTTGACATGCCTGAAATCAATTAAAAAGATTTAAACTATTTCTTCGAGGAACTGAATAGATTTTTTATACGAAGTAAATTCTGAATTGTAAAATTGGCAGAATGCCATGTCGGAGAAATCTCTTACAATTCCATTGTACCGTTAAAGGAAACCAAAACCTTCATACCAAGTTACTTTTATTGTAAAGTTTAAGATATTTGAAAAATATCCGTGAAAATTTGAACAAAATCGGGCAAGGCATAAGGAAGTTAGAGCCTTTTGAAATGACTAGTCACTAGAGGGCGGTATTCAATTTGATGACATCATCTGTGGACAACTCTCCATGCCTTTTGTACATCAAATTTCATGTTTTTCCTTCTTTCTTGTGATTGAGATAATCTACTCCCCTGAATGCAAGATATAGAATGCAAAATGATATTCTACTTCACATGTTATGAAGTCGGATCAAGAACACAAATAAATACAAAGAAAACAAAAAAATTGTGAAATTTTATGTACAAAAGGCATGGAGAGTTGTTCACAGATGATGTCATCAAATTGAATACCGCCCTCTAATGACTAGTCATTTCAAAAGGCTCTAAAGGGAAGAGAATTATATGACGGCCGTTGCTGAGAAATACCGGGACGATGTACATGATTTAGGTGAAGGTATATCTTCTGACGGTACTACGGTCCCGGAAGATAGTGACATTGCAGATTGTTCATGGAAAACGGCAGTACGCAAAAAATCGAAAAAGAGGCCAAGGGTTAGAAGCAATAGTGATGGAGTGTTACATGAAAAGAATAACAAAATACCCAAATTCTCCCGCTCGACACCAACTCATTCTGAGGGTAAAGTAGTTATTGTTGGATTGGAGAATAAGAATGTGTGCAGAGCCAACCCCGTGAAGGTTGTAAAACAAATTCATGATCTTGTAGGCAGAGTAAAAGATATGGTAAAAGAAAGAAACATGTTGATTGTGAGATGTGAGAGCGAAAACCAAATACCCAAACTGTTGGAATTAACCCAGTTGGCGGGCATTAATGTGAAAGTTACACGATACGATGGGAGCCAATCAACCACTAAAGGAGTTATTCACAAGATTGATCCCCAAATCAGTAACGAGGAAATAGAGGAAGTTTTGAAAGAACAGAATGTAGTGAACGCTAAAAGATTTATGAAGAAGATCAAAGGAGAAATGGTAGCAACCCCTTCCGTTCTCCTCACTTTCAAGGGTAAAAACTTACCCGAGTCCATACATTTTCTGTATGAGGTAAAGCAAGTGGATGACTATATCCCTCCTGTGCCGCGATGCCATAAATGTCAGTTATTCGGACACATTAGGCAAACTTGTAATTTACAAGTATAACTCATGTTCTCCCCCGCATCTAACACATCGGATATTGCCTTTAAAAGGCAATATCCGATGTGTTAGATGCGGGGGAGAACATGAGTTCGAAGATTGCCCTAATAAGGAGAACCCTAAATGCCTCAGATGTGGTGAAAACCACTCTGCAGCTTACCAAGGTTGTAAATTTTATGCAGAGGCGAAGCAAATTCAAAAAATAAAATTACAGGAAAACCTCACTTATGCCCAAGCGGCCAAGGCCCATCGTGCACAGATACATGAAAATGCCGTTACTGACATGGATAATCAGAAAGACATGGGTAGTGCAAATCTAAACAAACCTGCCAAAAAACATAACACAGAATCAAGGCCAAATAACCCTCAGAGAGCCAATCCGAATCCTCAGAGAGCCAATCCGAACCCTCAGGCCCATACCCCACACACAGTACGAGAAAGAAAGGGACAGGAAGAAAGGGACAGGGCAATACCCAGATCTCATTCCCAGATCCCAATTCCAGTACGAAAAACAAAGAAGGAAACTGCAACCCAAACTCCAGTAAATATGACATCTATTGATCTGATTATGTTTATTCTGTTTGTGGTACGACAGTTGCCTCAGTCCAGTAATGATGATAATTTCTTGGAAGCGGTAGTTAGAGCAGGCAAAGAAATTTTGAAGGTAGACATTACCATGGAAATGGTAAAAAGTCGCCTCATATGACTAATAAGTCCATATCAGACCTATTGATTGTACAATGGAACGCACAAGGCTTGACGGCGCATGGCGCAAACTTTTTATCTTCCCTTATTGATAACAATTTGTTAGGTATTCACCCAGATATAATGTGCATCCAAGAAACTTGGTTTAACGATTTTAATGTTTTGTCTATACCCAATTACGTTTGTGTTTGTAAAAACAGGCCGGACGGCAGAAGAGGTGGTTTGGTGATGTATTTAAAAAACGACATCACTTTTCAGGCGATGGATACACCCAGGAACGCCGAATACCAAAAAGTTGATATTTTTTGTAAAAACGGAGTTATCTCAATCTTCAACTATTATAATCCGTGTAAAAAGATTGAACTGATAGATCTAAATAACATGATAAGAAATGTGCCGGGGAAGTATTTGATTCTAGGCGACTTTAATAGTCACAATCCTCTATGGGGGAGCAACAAATTAGACACAAACGGTAGAACTGTGGAGTCTTTTATAGAAAATAATGATTTGGTTTTATTAAATGATGGATCTCCTACAAGGTTAGACCCATATTATGGTACATACTCAAATCTGGATTTGTCCTTAGTATCGAAAGAATTAGCACGTAATACAGAGTGGAAAGTACTATCCAATAATTTTGGCAGTGATCATAATCTGGTTTGCTTAAATTTTAAACATGTGTACAATAGACCAGGGGGTGAGAATATGGGACAGAGATGGTCTTTTAGAAAGGTTAATTGGGAAGAGTATAGAGAAGAAATTGAAGAGGCATTGAGAAAAGAAGGATATGAAAATCTTGGTGCAGAACTAAACATTCAAGGCAGATACAATGTGATTGTTAAGGTGATCAAGGAAACGTCGAACAAGTGCATTCCGCGTGTGCAGATTGCCAAGAGAAGAAAAGTAAATCCCTGGTGGAACAATGCCTGCAAGAAGGCGGTGCAAGAGAGAAATCGTCTTAAAAACAGGTTAAGAAGGTATTATGATCTAAATGATGTTAAGAAATACTTAAAGAAGAAAGCTGTCGCTCAGAAGGTAATCAGGAGAGCTCAATATGATTATTGGTTAGAGTACTGCCGTAGAATGAATAGATTTACAGACATTGGGAAAGTCTGGGAACAGGTTAAAAGAATGCGGGACAGTACAATGAACAAGCACATCTTTCACAATCTATTTGTAGACGGAAATATCTTGAAAGAATCTGAGGAAAAAGCAAATGCAATGGCAACCTATTTTAAATCGGTTGATGAATCACTTTCCGTAACTAAAAATGAAAACGAAAATATCTTGTACAATAATTCTTCAACAAATGATGATGATTGTATCAATGATGACTTTAACATGAGTGAAATGGGGAATGTTTTAAAGGAGATGAAAAACTCCTCATCCGGTAAGGATGATATTTATTTAATTATGATTAAGAATTTGCCGAACAAGGCACTCGTGTATTTATTAAACTTGTATAATGACATTTGGAAAATCTCACTTTTTCCACATCAGTGGTATGAGGTTATTCAAATACCAATCTTGAAATCCGGAAAAGATCCGACTCAAGTGACCTCTTATAGGCCGATTTCGTTGATATCAACATTCTCTAAAATTATGGAAAAAATGATAAAAAATCGCCTGACGTGGTTTCTAGAAAAAAACAGACTATTAAATCCTATTCAATCTGGCTTCCGCAAATATAGGAATGTCAAAGATCACTTAGTGAGATTGGAGACGGACATACATATATCCTTGAAAAGCAAAAAATATACCGTAGCGGTCTTTCTTGATTTAGAAAAAGCATATGATTCGCTATGGAAAACAGGTCTACTAAGAAAATTATCTATCTTAGGCATTGGTGGAAAAATGTTACTATTTATAAAAGCATTTCTATTGAGTAGGATTTCTAATGTGAGGATAAATAACTATATGTCTCGCCACTACACGTTAGAAAATGGAATCCCGCAAGGAAGTTCATTAAGTCCTTTATTATTTACTTTAATGTTAAATGATCTCAAGATAAATGTAAGTGATGTTAAATTATCTTGCTATGCTGATGACATTGCAATCTGGTGTTCAAATAAGGATTTAGAGCTGGCCCGCAGGAAATTACAAGAGGCCCTGCATGAGCTTGAGATATGGTGTTGGACGTGGAAGTTAAACGTTTCCCCTACCAAATCTGCAGTATTAGTCTTTACCAACAAACAAAAGAAAGATATTCTTCTACAAATAAAAGGACATAATCTGCCTATATGCGAGCAGTATAAGTTCCTTGGTGTGAGGTTTGACTCCAATTTAACTTGGTCTGTCCATATAGATTCTATCATTGATAAATGTAAGAAAAGAATAAACTTGCTACGTTGTGTCTCCGGCACCCCCTGGGGAAGTAAGTATGAGATTTTGATGATGATTTATAAAGGACTTATCCTATCCATTTTGGACTATGGGAGTGAAATGTATGATTCTGCTTGTATATCTTTAACAAAAAAACTTGACTCTATCCAATACAGAGCCTTAAAAATTATTACAGGCACAATACACAATGTGTCCTTGGAGGCTTTACAAGTTTTGACCGGGGAGCTGCCTCTGAGATATCGTAGAAGGTTGTTAAATGATAACTTTCGAGTTTATTTACTGTCTAGTACTTTAAACCACCCAACAAAAGAAGTATTGGGTGATGACTATGATTTAAATAACTTAGAATGGAAGATAGGAGAAGGACCTTTTAAACTGCGATCCTTTAGAGACGAAGTAGTGGTGGAAGGGCAAACCAACTTATTGCCGAAAATCCCAGAATGGCGGTTAGCACGACCACAAGTGTCTTTCGAACACCATGGCAAAGTGCAAAAAAAGGAAATGCCTCCATTTGAAATAAAATCGATTGTTCTAGATAGCATTGGAAATTCATGGAATGGGTTTTTACATATATATACAGATGGTTCTAAACTCGAGGATGGGAAGACAGGAGCCGCATTTTATGTGTCTCAATATAATGTGGTGAAATTTTTTAGATTATCCCATGTCTGTATTATGAGAGCAGAACTAGTGGCCATACTAATGGCACTAGAGTGGATTAATACATTTATTGAATCCTCTTCGGTGGTAAATTTTAGCGACGCTTTGTCAGCTTTACAAATGATCGATTCATACTTTATTAGATGTGCTATTGTAAATGAAATTTTATCCATAATTAATATTTTGCAGTTTAAGGATGTTTGTGTTGCTTTTGAATGGATTCCGTCACATTGCGATATTAGGGGCAATGAGATCGTAGATCGGGCTGCCAAAAAAGGAGCCATGAAAAGGTGTATAGACATAGTTATACCAAATACAAGAAGTGAATTGGCAGCCTCTCGTTTGATCCATTATAACAAATTATGGCAAGCAGAATGGGACAATGCAGAACACGGTAGATTTTTATATGCTTTGCATAGCGACGTTTCAAAGCCCATACATAGACAAGGCCTATCTCGCAGAGAAGAATGCTTGATACAACAACTAAGAGTAGGTAACTGTAGTTTAAATTATTACCTTTTTCAAATTAACCAACACGATACTGGTCTTTGTGAAGTTTGTCAAGAAGATGAAACAATTAAACATTTTATTTTCTATTGTACAAAATACGACAAAGATAGACGTCTCTTAAAAGAAAGGATTAAATTGAACAACCCCAATCTGAAACAATTATTGATGTCTAACCCAATTTTTACTCGTGAATTATTGGGTTACATATACGATACTAATCGTTTTAGATAGCTTTTAAAGCTATCAGGGATCCCCTTAACTTATATCGATCCTGTAATAATATATAAAATGAAGTATTTGCGGTTTTTCCATGAACAATTGCAACTAACTCCCATCTCGCCTTTTATGTGCATTTTATGCAATTTTAATATTGCAGCTTTTTTTTTTTTTTTTTTTATTTTTTTTTTTTATTTTTTATTTTTTTTTTTTTTATAAAACCATATCACTATTAATTTCATTTCACCAAGGAAAGTCGCTCGTGGGCTTGATTTCCGAAGCCCACGCCAAAGCTATACACGAAATTGACTGGCGCAAATAATCTTTGAGATTGAAGAGCGCCATCTAAACGAAGAACCAACCAACCATCTAAAGATAGACGTCTCTTAAAAGAAAGGATTAAATTGAACAACCCCAATCTGAAACAATTATTGATGTCTAACCCAATTTTTACTCGTGAATTATTGGGTTACATATACGATACTAATCGTTTTAGATAGCTTTTAAAGCTATCAGGGATCCCCTTAACTTATGTCGATCCTGTAATAATATATAAAATGAAGTATTTGCGGTTTTTCCATGAACAATTGCAACTAACTCCCATCTCGCCTTTTATGTGCATTTTATGCAATTTTAATATTGCAGCTTTTTTTTTTTTTTTTTATAAAACCATATCACTATTAATTTCATTTCACCAAGGAAAGTTGCTCGTGGGCTTGATTTCCGAAGCCCACGCCAAAGCTATACACGAAATTGACTGGCGCAAATAATCTTTGAGATTGAAGAGCGCCATCAAAACGAAGAACCAACCAACCAACCTCTAACTTTCTTATTCCTTGCCCGATTTTGTTCAAATTTTCACTGATTTTATTCAAATCTTTAAAACTTTTCAATAAAAGTAACTTAGCATGAAGGTTTTGGTTTCCTTTAAGGACATTCAAGAAAGGAATCGTACAGGACATTTTCTGACGGAGTCTCTTGGTAGAGACGCAACTACTTGACACAGAAGTGCGATAGTATCGCGCAAGGTTTCGACTTCGTCATGCGTCGACGGCACACGAGCGGAACAAATTTACTAAATCGTCATGAGCAAAATACATTAAGTGCATCTAATAAGCAAAAAACATTATAGTTTGACTCCTCGTATATATTCAGTCATTCATTTCTGTTTTGTCCACTGTCAGCTTTAACCTGAATATTCTTGAATTGGCAAAAATTGGTTGAAGCAGTGGATTGACGAATCATGCGCAATTAACGGAATTTATACAACACCTACGTGAATCCTTGTCATTTGGTTGGAGGATTGTTGGTCACATGATATTCAATAGATGTTATATTGCATAGTCGTGCATTTTTGGTTATATGCGCCGTGCATTTTTGGTTATATATGCAGACTGCGTATCTCTCTGCCGTGCGCGTGCGTGTCCATGCGTACTGACGCGAAGGCAATCTGAATGTAATCGAGAAGGCTCGACACCAACTTTAATTTATCTTTAATATGAGGAGTAAAGCATACTTTGTTGATTAACGTTTTATTAGATCTTCTTTGATGTTGTATAAAACAAATAATAAATGTTTTTCATTCGTTCAAAGGTGCGAATATTTACATTCGTTGAAAGATTAACGTTAATTCTATTCAACTCGGCTGACGCCTCGTTGAATAGAATGTTAATCTTTCAACTCATGAGAATATTCGCACTATTGAACTCATAACCATTCATTATTTGTATAATAATTAAGACGTACAACATTTGCAGGCTGGACAGGTGTTCAAGCATCGCCATCACTTCATGGGCTTCACGAGGCATCGAGTGTGCAAGTGACCTGTGGATGATGATAAGCAAACACCAAATAAAAGCCACGTTATAAAGACAATATTTCTTTACTTTTGGGAGGAACTTATTATTTGAAATGATAAGCATGAAGACCTATGCCCGTTTATTGCGTTTAATACTATGTGACACTTTGCGTACGTAAAACTGCATCAGCGAATCGCGCAGTTTTGACGCACCTTGCGACACTGGCATATTGCGTTTGATTATTGGCGTAAGGGCTGATTGCCTACGTAAAAGGCTTGATTGGCGTAGGTAATAACGCACTCGGAATGACGCATCATATTGAATGAAGGGTGAATTAATGAATGAGAGAAAGAAATAATTAATTCTAATTCAATAAGAACTAATAAAGAATGAAGTGAATATTATTGATGAATTAATTAAATAATTATAGGATTTTCACATTACTTACAATCGTTTTATAAAACGTATCACAAATATTATCTTGCACGATGTAAAGAAAGACCTTTGCAGAAAGGTATATCAAAATGTTACAATCTTCATTTAACGTACACAGTTACCATAAGAGTATTAACGAAGATTTTATAATTATCACAAAGAGGATATCTCTCGAAATCCTATCGCAAACTAGTTACGAAATGACAAAGATCGGATTTTTGAAGAACTTGCAAAAGCATTTGATATGAAAATTCAAGCATGTAATATCTTATGAACCTACGTTCTGATTAGTACTATGATTAACAAAATGTAAATTTCTTTCACAGCTTGTGTTATGAGAAAAATTCACATCGTCTCAGAATCGTAGTCCCAGACCAATTCAATTCAATTCAATTCAATTCAATTCAGTTCAATTTTATTTCGCAATATAAAAATCAAAATATACAAAGTAACAGTAAATTTTAACTACCGGTATGTTTACAAAGGTTATATGCGGGGCTTTCCATGAAGGTTGCGAAAACCTGTGAAGTTGGATCGCCCAATCGTGCGATTGTTTACGATTTGAAGCCGATTCAGCTTTTACTCTGACTAGCCGTGCTCTAAAATGTTATCATTATATAAACCTAATTTAAGAATATGATGTTTGTTTGGATTTCGATATAATATAATTTCTTCGAAAATCAGAACGCAGTGGGAACGTATAGTGTGGAATGGGCTTAAAATGTTTCACTTACAGCGTGTTGAGCAATCTACAGTGAGTAAAGGATTCGCCATTCATTTGAGTTAGCGGGTTATTATGAAGATACCTGTTAATAAATAAAATGAAAATGTTAATTATCGCTGAAAAAATACGTAATCATTTGTCGGAGAAAATCTAAAACATGTATGATAACAGAGAAAAAATTGGTTCGATTAAAAGATTATAATAAAGCAATCAATAAACTTTCATGACAGCGTTCTAGTTTGTCCCTTATCATCTGATCTTATGATTAGGTTACAACCCTCATCCGTCGATGGCTAATTGCCATTCCTTTTCAAAGATGAATATGAACAAAATTATTAGTATTGACAAAAATGGAAAAAGAAAACGAATAAAAAAGAAATTGTAGAATCATTAATGTAGCAGTTTACCTAATGTATTAAGCAATAATTGTACATGACGTACACATCCACTCCCCCTTATGACCTCAAATCTATGTTATGGGGATCATAGCTCCTTGCCTCCTAAGAAGCCACATTGTCAACTGTATGTCAACTGTAACTTTAAATTAATACTCGAAATTTAATCATACTTACAGTTGTTTTAGACTGGGAATGGCGTTAAACGAATGTGGCTCGAGAGATGTGATGTCATTATGAGAGAGATCACTAGTAAAAGGAAAGAACAAAAAATGAGAGTAAGTATTTCACTTCAGTACTGTTGAGGAGGAGGACATAGAGTAGGAGGAAGAAGAGGAGGAGGAGGAGGAGGAGGAGGAGGAGGAGGAGGAGGAGGAGGTGGAGGAGAAGGGGAGGAGGAGGAGGAGGTGGAGGAGAAGGGGAGGAGGAGGAGAAGGGGAGGAGGAGGTGGAGGAGAAGGGGAGGAGGAGGAGGAGGAGGTGGAGGAGAAGGGGAGGAGGAAAAGGAGGAGGAGGAGGAGGTGGAGGAGAAGGGGAGGAGGAGGAGGTGGAGGAGAAGGGGAGGAGGAGGAGAAGGGGAGGAGGAGGTGGAGGAGAAGGGGAGGAGGAAAAGGAGGAGGAGGTGGAGGAGAAGGGGGGAGGAGGAGGAGGAGGAGGAGGAGGAGGAGGAGGTGGAGGAGAAGGGGAGGAGGAGGAGGAGGAGGAGGAGGTGGAGGAGAAGGGGAGGAGGAGGAGGAGGAGGAGGAGGAGGAGGTGGAGGAGAAGGGGAGGCGGAGGAGGAGGAGGAGGAGGAGGAGGAGGAGGAGGAGGTGGAGGAGAAGGGGAGGAGGAGGAGGAGGAGGAGGTGGAGGAGAAGGGGAGGAGGAGGAGGAGGAGGAGGAGGAGGTGGAGGAGAAGGGGAGGAGGAGGAGGAGGAGGAGGAGGAGGAGGAGGAAGAGGAGAAGGGGAGGAGGAGTAGGAGGATGAGGAGGAGGAGGTGGAGGAGAAGGGGAGGAGGAGGAGGAGGAGAAGGGGAGTAGGAAGAGTAAAACCAGAAGGAGAGGAAGAGTGAGGGGAAGGAAGAGGAGGAGGAGGAAAAGGGAGAGGAGGGAGTGGAGTAAGAGGAGGAGGAAAAGGGAGAGGAGGAGGGAGAGGATTATGAGGAAGAGGAGAGAAAGAGAGAGAGGGCCACGGAAATAGAGAGAAAGAGAGAGAGAAAGAGAGAGAGAGAGAGGGGGGAGAAAGAAATAAACAGAGAGGGAACGATAGAAGAGTTGAATTAAAGATGACTAAATATTTTGCACTGTGTATTTATTGGAATCCATTGTGAGTTGTCAATTTATTTTACGCATGCACCTATTTTCCCGTTTTATTTTTTGATTATCAATATTTTTGTTCTTGAAATTATTGCTAGATAAAGAAATTTGATTGCACGTTTAAGTGGAAATAAACTTGACGTACCAATAAAGTCTTTGTATAATCTCATGAAATTGTTCGGTGGTATCATCTTTATGATCTTACACCCTTTTTACTGTCTTTATACCGTCGTTCGGATGGTGACGTTACAGGTCCCTAGGCGTATATATTCATATCTGATCGATATCTGATCGAAAATACAATTACCCACATTTTAAACGTTTTAAGAATGCTTAGGAAGTAAAAGTTGATATACGTACATGATGTGTAGATTTTGCAAATGGGGGTCAGAAGAAAACACCTCAGTTGTTATTGTCTCCAATCTGTTGTAAGATAAGTCTCTGCAGAAAAAGAAAAAGATAGGGCTCTAGGTAATTTCATGCCTGTCTTTTTTCCTCTCTTTCCCTTATTATCAACGATATCATCAACAACTTCATCATCACCATCATCATCAGCAGCAGCAGCATCACCAACGATGTAAGCATTGAACGAAAAGTAAAGCAAAACAAAACAAACAAACCATTCTTTTATTATGAGGATACCAAATACTTTGTATATATGTTTACACAATTGTTCTTACTTATTTATTGTTCCATTGCTGTTATGAATTTATGTTCAAGATTTTTTTATTAATATTATTATCATATATATATTTGTTAAACTATAATGTACCTCATTATGTTTAAACATGGCCTCATGGATGACCGCCATTATTGGTGATAATGAGTCATCTTGTCTAAATATCAGAAATAAATCAATAAATTACCGTCATCATCATCATCATCATTAATCATCATCATCATCGTCACCATCGGCATTATCATCTTCATCTCTTCCTCCTCTTTCT